CAATTTCATCAGCGATGATTCTAATGTCTGCCAATAAAGTGCCTTTTTTATTTGCTTGGATCAATCTGGTTTTAGCTGTTTGTAGTAATTCTGAATTGGGAGATTCCGTCCGTTCTTTCTTCTGAAGGTATTCGGGCGATCGTTCACCAAGCATCCCCGCGGGCCTACCGTCCAAGTTTGTATCCCACTCAATTTCAGTCGCGGTGGTTACGTTAAAATATCCAGCTTGAAACTGAATATTCTTTACTCGGCCGACTTTGTCGCGTTTGGTGTTGTTGATCTCGTCTTTAAATTAAAACGTCTGCTCGCTGTCGGTTAAGTAAGACGTTTGAGTCTCCATATTATTATTTACGTTTTGAAAAATCTTGTTTGGTCAATCTATATCTTGTTTGGCGAGGTTTAATTTATCAAGGGCGTTTTCCCAGTGCTTATCCTAAACTTTAAATAGATCTTTTACTTTAGATTTCGTTTCGCCGGTTGTCTCTTGATAACACACCGCAATTAAAGCCTTCAACGGTTTACTTCTAGAAATCTTGCCGTTTAAAACTCGGTGTAACTTATATTCTATTTCACCCACTTCACCGTTCTCCAATTGAACGTTAAACTCTTTTAAAGTTTTCTCGATTTTGGTAGTGGCAGTTTTCTCCAAACGTGATGCTTGTAATATCTATCTCCCATGTCACAGGTGTGTATGAGGAAAACCACCCAAAAATTAAACCGCAATGTTTACACGCGTATGTTTCGTCCATTTCAAGTATTTGGTGCTCACAAGTGTTTTCGGGTCTTGGAGGGGGAGTTGGCCATTTAGGTAATGAGCCGGTTAAATGATAATTCTCTGCGTCTGTCATTTTATTAATATTTCATTTATTTAAGGAACGAGTGACGTAAAAACAACCTCAGTTAATCCGAGGAATAACCGAGGTACCGAGGTTTAAGTTAATCATTCAAATTTAATCGACTTCTAATTCCACGGGAGATTCAGGTCCAGATTCAGATCTAGATATGTTAAACGCTTGCAACATCGACTTACTCGAAATTAGTCCGTTGTTTCTAATTTTCAACATTGCCGCTGTCACTCTATACCAAACGCTGGCGCTGCACGACAGTGAACCATGGGTACCGTAGTATACTTCTTTTGCTCAACTAAATGATTGCGCGTCACATCTCTTATTGATAAATTTATCGATATTTGACGAGTCGATGGATCTGTTTTGGTGATCAAAGAGAGAGGCATAGGGGTCTATTTTAACGTACATTTGGTTTTTAGCCGTACAAGGTTGTTAAACTACGTACTCTATTTTATTAAGGTCATCGATATCACGACTGGCTTTGTAGGCGTTTACGGTGTTGGACGGGAGACTGGACCCTTGAGATTCGATAAATTTATAAACGGCCAAATTTATGTGATCGAGTACGTTTGTCGTAAGTTGTTGTATTTGATAGCAAATTTGACGACCTTTGACGTTTTCGGGGGTTTTATCTCGAGTGCTATATTTGTAAAGTGGGTTTATACCGTAACATGGTTCCATCGTCATAATCAACAGGCGTTTGTTTTGGCCGTTGTGATGGTAAAAAATGGGCGAAGTGCATTGGCTCTCTTGAACCCCTTCTTTAATCACGGGTTTTGAAATGATTAATTTACTCGGGTCAAAGGGACTAAAGGTGACATTGGGGTCGCAGTTGTCGGCATTGAGACGCTCGTGGTCATCTGAAACGATATATACTTGGGTTGACATGGTTCTGACCTTTCCGGCTTTGGCGTAATTTTTTTCATTTTTATTCGGGTGGGATTTCTACTTTAATTAAATGTTCGACATCAACGTCGTATTAAATAATTAGTCCAATTTTGTATAAATCCGCGTCGAGTTTAGTCGCTAAATCGGACAGTGGCTCGTTCTCTCGCGCGTGCCTCAGCTTTTTATGCTTACCGTCAACGAGCACCATGTGATCCATTCCTTCCAACTCGACACAATTTACGCAGCAGGCGCAATATATACAACCAAAACACTCGATACAATTGCCGCACTCGTAACAGTCCTCGCAACTGTCCAAGGCATTTGAATTTTCCCAGTCGTATGAATTAAAACAAGCCACGCAATTTATACATCTACCACAAAAGTGGCAGTGGTAGTTGGAGCAGTCATTACATCTGGCGCAGTCGTTGCATTGGTGACAATCGTGGCATTCTTTACAATCGGTGCATTTGCATAAACGGTTGGAATTTAAACAACGAAAGTAATTGCGTACGAATCAATCAAGTCAATCGAATTTCTCGTGTCTTTGCAAAAATAACAATTCACGTTTGTAGTGTGATCTACCATTTATTTTTATTTAGTGTTAATTTTTTTTCGTTTTTTTTATAACGGGCAAGCCTGGACTTGTAGCGACGGGAAGTCCCTTTTTTGTCTGAGAGTGATTGTTTGTGTGAGCTGTGCACGTCACGAGTTGTTTACAGGAAAAAGTGCACTTGGGTCTAAAGGTCAAGGTGAGTGAAGTGGGAAACCCCGGCGCGAGTGGGTGAAAGAGGGTGAAAGGGGGTGAAAGGGGATGAAAGGGGAGGTGGTCTTGAACTGTCCTATCTCTACTACTAGAACATTGACCCTACCTTCGGTTTTTTCGTGTCAGTTTTGACGTAATTCTGCTGAGGTTAAATTGCAACATTTATGTCGGTACAAATATTTTAATATTTTATAGATTTGTTTATGTTTGCGGTTGGAGGAAGGAATGTTGACGCGATTTAGAGATGTCATTTTGAAACTGTGTAAATGTAAAATGCTTGCTAATAATTATATCAGAATTTCGAGATTTTTGTGCGCTTTAAAAAATGTCAATGCTAGATTATTCGTGAGGTTGGCGTGGGGCTTAAGACGCTCTGACTCTTGGCGGGGTGGGCGTCTCAGTGTGGGAAGGCAAGTACCTTCTCTTGCAGCCTAAGAGCGGAGTGGAACTGGTCGTGATGAGGCACAACGTAGCCCGTCACCACGTGGGCAAGGTGGACTTCTTTGGCCTGTACGTCGTTGAGGGTGAAGGCGTTTCTCACCAAGTGCATGGTATCATCGGTAAGTCGATAACAAAACAGTGCGACTCGTGTTGATGTTTGAAGTACCATGCGATGAAAGGTTAAGGAAGAAAATAATTCACATTTTGCTCAAAAATGTTTGTCTTCTTTTCAGGTCAGTTCCAACGAAGGAAGATACACCTGGAGCGGAAATCGGCAACAGTTGACGGCGACGAGGTCAAAAGTTACACCCGAATTCGCAGTAGACGCGTCGAGGTCATCCGATCGGAGAAGCTTGACCGGCTGACAGGTAAGATGGAGCAGTGCTGGTATGCCGGGAACAACGCCGAAGGGGTCATCGATGGTACCTACACGGACTACTTAGTTGAGGCTTAATAGACAAAGTGTGAGGTCATCGTTACGTGCCAATATGACTGAAATCGAATGTTCAATCAAGTCATTTACTGGTGCGAAATTTTTTTGGGCGCATAATCCAATCGTTGAGAGTTCGTTTCTTGATGAACGACTTTCTTTGTTTAAGGGCTGGTCCTGAGGTAAGGGTCGAGAATCCTGTGCAAGGGTTACAGTCACCTAGCCTAGTGTGACTGTGCCTTAGTCCGAGTGGCGCGTGTGTTGTTGAGGGCTCGGTAGGTTGAGGGGCTAATTGGTGGCGCGGTATAGTTCCTGATAGGAGCTTGTGGTTGATGCAAGGGCGGATTGCTATCTCGTGACGTGAGTTGCGTGTAGCGCATCCCTGAGAATAAGCCCCGTACACTTGCTAAAGTCCCTGATTGGGCACTGGATGCCCAACATTAATTGTGTTGTTCGCTGCTCTGTGCGAAGTCCGGTCACGTATAATCACACAGTCTCCCCGTCAATAGTGCCCTCTACTGGTGTATTTGTTGAGTGTGTTGATGAATAAACCAGCCGCTTATTAATTGTTGTTTATAAGTCAGGTGTCCAGGCGAAGTTTATTTCAAGTCAGGTCTGTCTGGGTTACGTCATTAAATTTCGACCAATCAGATTAGCCATCATCTCGACGAAGAGTGACTTTCTTGAGGGATGGTAAACTTCGGTCCCCACGGACTCGTCCCTTGCCGCTCAGGGACTCTCCGGCGTGCCGTCCGACGCGCAGCGCCTCGAGGAGGAGGGCGCCCTCGCCTTCGTCGGAGGGGCCCGGCGTCACAATACAGAGCCGATCGCTTCCGCAAATTGAGTTCAAATGTCACAGCAAGAACAACATGGAACTCAAGACGGGTTAAGTTCAAGTTTGTGAACTTGAAGGCATGCTTTATGTAAGCCATTGGAGAATAAGGTGCATTAATGTAGTCATAATTTTTACGATCAGGACATTATACATTATCTATAAAAATGTATTAGGCCTAAAGAAGGTGAAGCTTCTCAAACACTTCTTGGGTAAAAAAAAATCAATCATAAATAAGATGCGTCTCGATCTAGCATCGATTCATACAGCAAAAATTTAATTATTTATATGCTGAGCAACAGTCACTTGATTTTGTAAGCGCATTGTCTACAGTGTCTATACATTTATCAGGGATAGGTGGGTCGCGCTTTCTATCTTGTTCATCAGAAGAAGAGTTCTAAATCGACCAATCACGAGAAACAACCGTCTTCACGTATGTTTTAGAGGGAAATTATTAACTGTGCATGTCCCATTTTTAGGGTCATTCGCATGCGTAATAAAAGCCATGAGAATAGAGCCTGAAAGTTGACCCCTGATGGCGCGCTTCCGGAACCCTTGGATAGGAAAAATAACGTGCAAAGATTTTAGAATTTGTGACTTTTTTTCGTTCAGTTTCTTCTTAAAAAATCCAACTTAGAAAAAGGGCTTTGAAAAATATTTTATATTTCTACATATCAATTTGTAAAAACTGCAAAAAACTGATCTAAAAGAGATATTATCGTGCCAAAAAAATTGACCCTAATCTTTGCTGACAACGACTGCGTGATGTCAACTTCAAGGAATCTGGAACCAATCGACTGCAGGTAGATAAATCTTTGTAACGTTGTACAATCTCGTTTTCAAGAAAGCACGTCGAGTGAAAACAAAGGTAAATGAACAAGGAGACCTAGGTACGATATCGCCGGACGTGAAAGAGCGTTAATGAAATTCGTTTTTTTATCCATCTCCAGGTGACTTTTCCAAAATATTACTTGAGGAAGATAAAGGTAAAATTCCAACATGAGTGTTTCATGGGATATTGGTTTCAGTAAGGAATTATTTTTCCAAAATTTATCGAACGTGATAGGACGGCCCCACAATGTCAAATCCCCATATAGGCAGACCACGCAAGGGTTCTGGAAGCTCGCTGCGTGACCGTTTACTTTCAGACTCTATTCGTGCGAGGAAAGCAGCTACTTCATTTCATGAAATTTACGTCTTCTTTTCACTTTTTGGAAATAAAATACCTGCCAAAAATATTTAAATGGTAAGATAAGGCCTTTTCCTAACGTACCTGTTTTGTGAAAATAAAATTGAGAAAAGTTACTGTACCGGAATGGTCAAAACTAGTGATTTTTGTGGAAAGCTCTTTACGTTTAAACGGTACTTTGCTTACGTGTTGATGAGATTTTTGAAGTCTTAAAACAAAGAATTTAAAGTTTTCCTGAAGTTTTCAAATGTGGGCTAACTTGTGGAGAAAGTAGTGGTTTTAGATTTACTGACAGTTTCGAGTTTGATTTTTTCCCCTTAATTCCTGACCGGACGCGTTTGCATATCGCCAACTCGGCACCGATTCCGTGAGTTCACAAAATCTTATGGCCTTGACTCGGGAACGAAAGACGAACAAAAAACTACAGTCAGTTAACATAAAGTTTATTTATCACCGAAACCGAGGTTATCTGTAATTTGCCAGGAAATCTATAAATTCACGTATGTGACATGCATGAACCACATGAACATGCAGATACACCGGCTCCAACACATTATTTCCATACATGTACATATACACCCACATATACATGTACATGTATGTATACACACATGTACATGTACATACAGCACGTGTACACGTGCACCTGTACACATGTACATGTACATGTATACGTACATGTGTAAACGTGCACGGTACGTGGCTGGATTGGTTTTATGCAAGTAAAACATGTAGATCGCGCTGATTGTATTGTGTAGTTGAGCATCTGGCTTGTCGTATACAGTGTCTCATTGTTCTGGGATAACTTCTAAAACGGAGAAATTTAGTGGGAAAAAGACCAAGAGATCGATTGAAAAGGGAAATAGTTTAATATCATCTTAGCAACCACTTTGAGGCTAAATTTTATATTGATGTAGCATTTCCTTTCACGATTCTTTGATGTTTTATTCGGTTCAAGCCTTTTAGAACACATACAAAGAGTTTCAGTGTGATTTTTTGTTAATTTTGTGCAAACGAAATTTTCAAAAAGAGAAGGCAAAAACAGAGAATTGGCAAGCTGCAAAGGACAATTTCGTATGGTTAATGAGGGTCTGGTATGGTCAAGTAACCGCCACGCACGGTCGAAGTCACTTGGGAGTTAAAGTTTGAATAAAATCTGGTATACTGTGTTATCTGATTGCATAGAAACGTAACAATTTGAATTCCCCAGACTAAAGACACTGTTGCTATATACCTTATACCCAGCAAGAAATGAGACCGAGGGGTATCCCCCCCAACATGTCCAATCCCCATACACATTCCAGACTACTGTTACTTAANATGACCAACACAAAGCAGGGGGGGGGTTCTCTTCGTCTCATACCTTGCTGCATATGATACACCTCCTGATTCGGGGCAAGCTTTTGCATAGCGACCACTATCTCCGGAATGGCTGGTTCCTTTGTGCCGTTCTTATCCATTGAGAACAGTGTATTGTTGCAAGGCGTCTCTTATGTAACTAAGCAAAAGCTTGCCCCGAATCAGAGGTATAGCAACACTGGTTTTAGTTTGGAGAATTCAAGTTGTTATGTTCACGTTAATTTGAAGAACTGGGTGTACCAGATTTTATTCAAATTTAACTCGCACACGTCGAGTGGGTGAAACCCATGGTGAAACATACACTATGGGGGATTTTTTTTTCGATTTTGAAGATTGAATCGTCAACATTTTGAGCTGGGGCAATGAATAATGATAGTGTTTTGGTTCAGTGCTTAAGGCTATGCACAAGAAAAACTGAGCTCCAAATTCCCTCAATGTATAAATTGAATCCTCGAAATACATAAGCACGATTATACCCAGCAAGAAGTGAGACCGAGGGGTACCCCCCCAACACGTCCAATCCCTATACACATTCCAGACTACTGTTACTTAACACATCCCCCAAGATGTCTGAAAGGAATTCCCCAGATTCTTGCGAGACAACGACCAACACAATTGCGGCGGGGGGGGGGGG